TTGTCCCAGTGAAACATGGTTACACTTGCGTTTGTCGAACGTTGGTCCGGAACAGAAGTTTTGCCGTGCATATGTACCTCCGTTCTATTTACTAACTTTCAGACTCAACACTTAGGACATATCCTTTTTCCTTGCTGGACCCTCATCTAACGGGTCTTGTCGAAAGAATCTCGCATTCATTCCAAAGCCTTTTTGACAGCATACGGTTCATTCCTATCACCCAGCTTTGATCTCGTATCCAGTGAACTTCAGGTACTGTACACCCCAAAAGTATACCGATCCCCATGCTCTCACGTGGCACGAACTTGATAGCATTCACATGCGTCCTGAGCGTAGCTAGTCGCTAACTTGGTACAACAATATTAGCTTGCCCCGGAGACTTCACAGAGTATCCCCTCTTGACGTGGATTATTTGTTCGGTATTAGTAGGTTCCACATCCCATTCCACGTCGGTAGCAGGAACTTTGCCTCCTCTGTCAATGTTGGTATGGTGGGAATCCTGCTCTTGCCTCTCATTCCAAGGCAAGACACCAGAATCTCTCAAATGAGTGTCGAATAGAAGCCATCATCTAGGAACGCTAATGTTTGTGCTGTATTCTTACCTAATCGAATAGTGACTGGAACAACCCCCAGGGCGATCTCTGGATTCGTTTCTTCTTTGTTTTCGGCTGCATGATGATCTGAAACCGTCGCTTGATTGGTCACCTCTTTGTCTGAGTACAGAGACCTACGGTGTGGTCCACCACAATATTCTGTTGTATATCCACGAAGAACCCTTGCTACTTCTGATCATGTGGTTCATTTTCAAACAACGGCGGCAAAGTTTTTTACGTTGACAGTTTCCGCTCTTTTATTAGGCTCACAAATTAGGAACGTTGTTTATTTATGTGAGTTGTGATTGACTCTGCAAATTGAACATCAGTTGTGAATAATAATTCAGTGATATTAGGCCTTGGTTTGTCTCTTTATGTAGAAAAATGTAATCTGGAGGAAGCTGTAGGTATTTCCAATGAACTGTATTGGGAGAAAAGTTAGCATTCGGTTAGTGTTCGAAATCACCTAGGAAAAACAATCTGACAATTATAGAAATGATGTTCGTAGTTAACATGAGCGAACTTCATATAAAACTATTTTAATATTATTATTTATTATTAACCAGACAATAGGTGTATGGGTCCTTTGTAACTCAAGTGACCAACCAAAAGTAGTCTCCAGTCCCAGACATGCCCATCGACAGAAGACAGAACAATACACAAAGAAGATTAGTGTACAATAATCCTTCTATCAAGAAACCCTGCGCGGGATCATCCGATTTGTCTCTTACTGATGGGAAGTACATTCATGCAGAAGGATTGTTTAAATAAAGTAATCACAAATAGTATCGTTTTACCGCAGAGTTGGCCAAAAAATATGCATTTCGCGTCTTTCAGCCTTTCTAAAATGTAAACTTAACCAGAAGGATTAGCGTCGACTTGATAACACTAAAAGCATTTACGTGCTATTAGTGAGCAAAATGAGTGATGTAGAAGTACCTCATCTCAAAATTCATCGAAAATGGATACAAAAACAGATTACTTTCACCAGGATTACTCTACAGCGTATCACTGTGTGGATCACATTCCTGGAGGAGTTTAATCAACGTCTTAGCATGAGATGGAAATCCTCCCACTCCCAGTCACATCAGGTCTCTAACATCATTGTTGACTGACCCAGGCAAGATCCGGCCGGCATGTTTGAAACTCTGTAAACCAAGCAGTCCAGTGATTCTAACTTATGATCATCGCGCATGAGCGTAGCAGACGAGCATAATTCATAACCACGGTGTCCCAGTGCACTATTGGGCGTAACCGACAAACGATCCTAAGACTTGGAGTAGGGAACCACTTGAGATTCGATAATAAATCGAATAATCACAATGATAGTAATAGTGATATAATAATAATAATAATAATAAAGAAACGAACACACCGACTACTTTTTTCTAAAGAATTAACGAAAAGGTTCACTGCGATCAATCATTCTGGTGCCTCCGGGTGCAAGGTTGGTCTGGAGACTTGAGGTTTGCGCGTGAAAAGTGGAGTCCAAAGGAACGGTAGGCCAACGAAGTATAAACAGTCACGCTCTATTCGGAATAAGTTGAGAGATATCTTTAAATATCTAATTCCTAACGTCCATTGCAAACATCGTCAATGGCACAAAATTTATAATTTACTCGAGAGACGAAATATGCAACTTTTGACTCGCGATTTAAAATGTTTGGTGATGCAACACATATGTGTCGCGGGCATGTCGGTAGTCAACAGTTGTGTTCACCTATAGACCTCTGTTGTGGGTGAGCATCCAGTACACAAGATTTTCCGTCTTACATAGAAGCAGTTATGCTTACTGAATTTGATTTCGAATCAACTGTGCTTGAGCAGTACTTCTGATAATTGCAAATGTCAAATTAGAAGTCCACACATGGACGCTTATCTCGATTCGCTTTAGCAAAGGAACGGCTGTGAACATCACTAATGGGCCGATCTGTAATTAAAGGCTCGGGGTTGAACTACTGAATGATCCTACGGTGTTCTATGACGTGCGACTTCTCCGTAGGAATCCACAGTGGTAAGAAGATATTACGTCACACACAACCTACTTAGCTGGGCTTCGTGATCAGTGCCAGTGCACAATGTGCATTGTTGCTAATTTCATGCATACTAAATTAAACAGTAATAAAACCTCAGTGATTTTAAATGGAGAAGGATGTAAGCGAATTTCACACTTACTCATTTGAAACTGACCTGACTCCGTAATTCAAACTGATTCTTTACCCTTGGTCAGCAGAGACCTTTGAATAACTTGTGAAATTTGATCTACAATTCTCTAGAGATGAACTTGAAAAGCGAAAAGGGCAACAAGGCATACGAAACAATTTCGGAATCATCTCGTTACATCTGGCGCACATACAGATTGGTTTTCCCGTAGATAGCATAATCTTGGCAGTCTTGCCTCCATCACAATGAATGCAACACAGTTTTGATTAAGTCAACATGACTACCTCATTTATCATCCAAATCTGCCACATGGATTTTGTGTACTTCGTAACAGTGTTTACAAATGTGCCATTACTTACACTTTACTTTTACGTGACTATCTCTTGAGAGAGAATAATTGAGCATCACGGAAATTACGGACCATTGCTGAGCATGTGTGGTGGTCGGAAGCGAGCTCGGTGCAGATCGTGATCCAGTCCCCTTCCCTTTGCCGGACTCCGAAGACCGACCAAAGACCTAGAAACTCCACGTCATTTTCTATGGCACTGGTCCACGTTTTGAGCTGTCCACAAAGGTGACGACGCCAACCAGGGCAAGGAGCAGGGCAGAGTGTTTGTTTGTTCATCTATGACTAGGATCGCTGAAGGGTATGACCAAACTACTCCAATCGTCGAAGTCAGAGGATGACGGAGAGTGTGTCGATATCAGAGCATCGTCTCCTCATCTCTTCGTTGGACACCCTAACGTGCCACTTGAATTTGAGGACTTGCCGCATGCACCAGTGGTCCAAAACCTCCAGCCTTCTGGTATCCTCAGCTCGTAGTGGCCAGGTTCCGCAGCCATAGGTGAGCACTGGGCGGATGGAGGCACGGCAAACACGGACTTTGGTCCTTAAGCTGATTTCACTGCAATTCCACGGCGTTCACCTTAACTTAAGGAAGGCTGTTCTTGCAAATGAAGAGTCCATAGGTGGTATATTCCTTCCCAATGTATGGGGCACTAACGAAAATGAAGTGTGATAAGGTCAGTGGTCCAGACGGGTTTTCGCCCAGGGTGCAAACTGAATTTGCTCTCATTTCATCCTCAGCGTTAACATGTTTATGCGATCAACTTTTGTTTTCTGAAAATACCCTGGATTGTGCTATATTGGCATCCATAATGCGGGTGCTTGATCACTACCTGGAAGATTTATATTGTACTCTAATATTCTGGAATTGTGTGTTCAAAGACTATAATTAAATCGAACGTCACCTGAGATGAGAAAACTGGTCCGGTCAACTTGACTATCATCACATGAGCGTCCTATTTAGTTTCATTATGTCAAATACCATTTTTTCCATCCCATAGGATATTAAAGGCTGTTAGCATTTGTAGTCGGGACTGTAGTAATATATGCATATTTGTAGTGAGAAAAAATTCAAATGTATTAGGTGTAGACAGTAGGCCGTCGTTCTTCAGGATGTGACCGATCGAGGCCTTTCGGCACGTGACAAATTCAGACCGTTCAACGCAATCTGAGACGGGTCTAAAATAACATCAACACCGAGTGTGTCTGATTGGAGGTATATGCCACTATGGGAGAGGAATAATGATCAACCATCCGCTTAGTGTACGTGCTCGTGCGACATTGTCTGTTCTCTCATGTGGGAGTTTACGGAAAGATTCAACAAAGAACTTATCATACAATTCTACCGCTCAACTCAGTATTGAGGATCGTGGGAGCAATGTGATGCTGTAACCATCGGGAGTGCACATTCCCTGAACCCCAACGAGGACTCGAACCTGAGGTAAAGAGTGTGAGTCGAACGCCTAACCACCAGGTTTTCTCTTGATCCAGTAATAATTTTCTACTAGCTACCATTATTACGAGGATTATTTTGTTCACGAAACCTCAGCAGCACTTAGCGCAAACTATATACAAGTTCTGGTCCTGTCAGTAGTTACTTGTTCAGTGACTTTATATTGATCTATGCAGTGCAGTCGAATACTACTCTAATCTTCGTTCGGTCTCCATGTTTACGTACTCCGTGACGCGGAAGGTAACATACTTGGAGGCCAGTTAGGTTTTGCTCAGTCCCAGGTATCATCTCATCGTAACCTTTTTTACTGTATTCATTGATCGTAGCCGAATCATTTTTCACCAATGACCGATCGTTTTCAAATCGCTTCCTGACGAAATGGAATTTTTTCAGGATTAGACCACGGTTGTCCGGCAGAGATGAACAGCAGGGTTTCCATGGTAGGTCAGTATTGCAGCTTAGAGAGGTTCATGTAAAGTAGAGCCATCTTGTCATCTTCGGACACGCTCCGTTTGATACTGGCCTCTTCGACGAATTGGAAACTCAGCATGCCTTCCAGACTTTTGGCAAATTCGGTGGTTGTGACGTGGAGCACGTAGGCTCTTGGTTTGTTCTGAAGTTGGTATGAAGTTGGTTCCAGTATCACCTTACCAAGCGGTCCTTTCACAGCATAAGAGTCGTCAGGGCTGCCAGATCGTTGTTCCAATACATACAGGGACTTCGGTTTATTGGCCCTAATTGGCATGCCGGTGTTGGTGGCCTTTATATCTGACAACGGTTTATCTCTCAAAAGGTCCCACTCCTTTAGGTCTCGCATATGAATAAACGGCTTTAGACTTGGCAAGGTTTCGACTTCAATCTTCAATCTTCTAGTCAGAAGGCGGAGTGGAACATCCCATGTAGGCCTCTTCACATTGACTCTGTGGGTACACCACACCTGCAGTGGACTGAAAGGACGGAATAGTCGCTGGAACCGACGGGCGGAAGGTATACAATTTACTCAACATCAGATTGCCTCGGAGATGTCACATGATCCGGGATGGATGACAGAGGACCCTGAAACCGTGTTGACCCTCGTATGTGCTCGTATAGAGTTATGTCCTCAAAGACCGTGTGGAAAGCTTTGATTCCGCCAACCGGCTACTGGGTGAACACACAAATTATCCTATACAACCTCGACCCCAGTACCACCGGATTCGGTGGAGGCTCAAGGGTCCAATACGGTGTTTGAAGCCACGACCCGAGCGAAAGTCTTCTCTGCTGGTAGCGATAATGGTGTTGGCGAGGGCGATGATGATGATCAGTATGATAATGATATCACTGCTGCCGCCACCTGTGATGAGGATGACAATGTTGGCGATGATGGAGATGGAGATCAGGATGATGATAATGATGACTCCGTGTTGTCTGTGATAGCAGGTGTCGTCTTCGTTGACTTCCTTGCCAGGCCAAACATGTGTTGATAGATCAGTGCGTTTAAAGCACAGCACTTTGAGCAACTTCACACGGTATTTATCGAGAGCTTTGTAAAGATCATTGCTTATTTCGGGGCATTCCAGGTAGATCCAACCATCACTCTGAAAGGATTTTGTCAAAAGTTAGTTCTTCGGGGAAAGCAATCAGTACCATGTTACATCATGTAACAAGGAAATTTCGATTACTATTAAGTAATCGGTGGTTTATAGAGCCCCTTGCACCAATCTGATTGCTCAATTTACAGTGTCAAACAAAAGTCATTTTCTGATCAATCAGGGAAGGTCATTAATGTGGCAAAACAAAAACATACCCAAAACAGATTTGTCGCTGGAATGAACAATCCTTGAACAAAGTAGTCATATGGATGCTACATTTTTAACTTCGCAATTGAGTAGTAGGAGATTGTTCCCGTGGTGGCTCGGTGGATGTGCACTGCTGATGATTCCCAACAAGGATGAAACAGCTGTACAGTGCTTCCATGGTTTTCAATGGTGAGTTGAGCGTTCAAGCTGCATGATGAATCATATTATATTTTTAACTTCCTTTGGAGGCATTATGGTTACACGGTAGCCCACAGATTGACACAATCATAGAAAAATATAACTCCAAACAGCACGCCGAATGACTTGCTTGTGCCGCGTAGGCTCGGCAGACCCGGATATGCTCTCTCGTCCATTGAGTGAGGTTACCCCTGAGGATTTTGTAGTGGCATCTGTCACGCCATCACCTCTAACAGCCTTGGCAGTCAGTGCCGCTTAGACCCAGTTTTGTCATCAGCGAGGTGTCAATAGAATTTGAGTCTGAACCGTTGTCCAGGAAACCATTGACGATGAATTCTCTCAATGAACCTCGAAGACGAACTGGTAATACGGCGAAGGACTTTTGCTGGACAGTAGGATTTACTTTAGCTAAAACACGACTAACTGAATCAGTGTTAAAGGAGTGGTGCTGCTGTTCTGTACTGAAGGCTCTGGCCGATGTAGCGTAGGATGGTCTCTGCCTTCACCGTCATTCGGGCTACAAGCCTTGCTCGAAAGCCAGCCTCTAACTCCATGACTGACCTTTGAACATGAAATCATAACCTGAGCCTCTTCACGGCTTCATACCTGTCTATACCATTTCAGTTTTGGAATTCGATACGCTAATCTACATACTGGTGTCCTTTACATACCGAACAAATTCTATTTGGGGAAGTTTTCGGACTGAAGACAACTAAATCAGTAGCCGCTGATATTATTGTGGCCACTCGATCTCAGGAGCTCCGACTATTCGTAGGTCGTTGAGATTCTGACCAAGTGTTGACACGGCTATACTGATGTGATATATGAACGAGATTGGTCACAACAGTATCAACTTGGCCTGAAACGAAGTACATCAGCTCATAGAAAATAGATTTGTGCTCGGTCTTGAGGATATGAGATCCTCTTTCAAACAACTTAGACTGAAGATGATGAGGAAGCTGTTGTGCAATCGTTGTAAGGGTCCGACAGAAATCTAAGTCCGATTGGTATTTCAGCCTTTCCAAAGTGGCTGCACACAGTTTCATTTCGTCGGCTAAATTGGCTACAGCCTTGGAGTCTGAAGGTATCACGGTTGATCCGTCTGTCAGTTCGCTGTTGAATCGTGTTGCAATCAAATTTGGCTCACTGAAATGTCGTTCGAGGATTCGCAGTGCTTCTCCTTAACTTTCCTTGGGTCGGGGATTGCTCATCTTCGGATGAAATCGGCGGCTTCGTCTTCAAGGGCCAAAATTAGGTGATTCAATAATCACACGTAGTCAAAAGTGTATCTGGCCACTGTAGTTTGAGAGCTGCGCATGAACCCGAAGTGATTCATTGGACTACTACCGAATTTGACCAACTTTCGGGCTGGAAGGCTCATGCATGCCTGGAGCAGCTGAGCGGTTTCAAAGATGTTGCTTGGCGGAGGTTGTTCATGAGTCAAAACACAAATTTCTGGTTTCCTGAGAGACATCGGGTCAGGTGGGCGATTATTTGAAGTTAAGAAGGACTGTATACAGTTCCTAACTAGTGCGAGCTTCTCAAATGGCTGCAGAGATGATGGTCGAGAAGCTTGAACCGACAACATAAAGCGTTCTCCCACTTTTAAGTCACTGGTCTTCTCTCCAAGCTTCACTTTGGCCTCACTGATACACCTCGCTGTTTCCGATTGAAGATCCAACCCTTTTATTTTTAGGTTTGCGAATTTGAGTTCTTGGTTCAGCTTCGAGTCGGCGGGCGGACCTTATGATAACTGATGTTCTCTGTCGGAATTGTGATGGAGCTGCATTCTACAGAATTACCTCTAATTCCAATTCGGGCAGCAAATCAAGGCAGAGATTTGGTTAGCTGACTAACTGTTACGTCTAACCCAATTTCTTGGGATGTCGGTCTAGTGGAAACTTAGTCTCACTAGTTCTGCGCACGATATGGCAGAGCACAGCTTCGGGCAGCCGTTTTAAAACAATGCTATAAGCATAAATGTACAGCGAAAAAAGACTTACATCCAGGTGTGAAACCAAAAGCAAGGGGCAGACGTTTTCCGAAAATCGGGACAACGCAGAAAGTAAAAGCGGTCCACTTACCAAGCAGATGAACGAAACTATGGCGCAGTTCGCTTAAATTACAGTCAGCAGATCATGAGACTTTTACCGTCACGAATTAATGAACAAGTCATAAAGGGACGAATTAAACTGTGGTTGTAGTGCGAAACGGATCTATTAATAAGTGAGTAAAATAAGCTGAATCTGTGAAACAAACGTGAGCACGTGTCAACATGAATGAACGAATCCAGCATTAGATCTGTTAATGCCGCGTAGATGTGCTGGTGAATGGTGGGGGGCCGAGTCAGTAGGTTTATATATATATATATATATATATATATATATATATATATATATATATATATATATATATATATATATATATATATATATATATATATATATATATATATATATATATATATATATATATATATATATGAAATTCGCTGAGATTTCTGGGTGACGATATCAACTTGTATACTGTTAAAGTAATAAATGATGTAATTGATAAACAAGCTGCCGCTGACGTACATTCATCCCCGCATGAACATAGAAGTGATCAGTATCCGCACCTATACACCGGACAGTCAGTCAGAAGCAAAACTGCTTGAACAGTATGGAAGCACGACAGATTGATAAGGTGTGATCATTAAATACATTCTCATCCACACTGAAATCACTAGCTGGTTCATCGGTATCGATTCGTGGACTTGTAGCTGCGTCTTAGTGGTCAATACAAGCCCTAGTTGTGTGCTTATCACAATTCCTTCAGAAAATATCACTCATTTATCGTCCTCTAATTATAACCGCCCTAATTCCTCGAGGGTGTTAGAGCATACCGCCATCCTCAGCTAGATACGAATGAACTGGCTTCATACTTCGTCATGCTTGTGAAAAAGGATCAATCTCCCAACGCACATTTCCTATATTCACCGTGCACCGTTCAGCCACAGTGGTGCAGTCGCCCCTGTCGATGATGGTCCACTGTGCATGCACACTTTCACGTTGAAGTGCCGAAGCGGTTTTCTGGTCATAAGCACGCTGTCCGGGGCACTAGGATAATCCCTTAGATTATCGCACCCACGTCTCTGTGTTGTGGTGGGCGCACACAATCCAGTGCACATGCATGCGCCGACAAACACCCGCACGTGCCCACTGCAAATGTGTTAGCATCGGTAATTCGTCACCTGTTGTACGGAATACCTCTAATCTTCCCGACAATCGACACAGAGAATATATCACCGCTCTGTCAATAATGCAGTGGGCATACACCTGCGACGCACATGCGTGCATCCACGGACACACTGGGCATAAAAACTGGCATACTGTGATAAAACTAATAATGGCACATTGACAATAGCAGTTCGCATCCTGTATTTAATTTCACTGAAGTCATCAAATGGGTGCTCGGCTAAATAAGTTTCGCGCCGGGCTAAGGATAATCCAGTGAAGAAGGAAGGCGAATTCGGTGCAAATAAGCGGTTTAATGGAGGTGAACCTTATCAAGGTAGGGGAAAAACAACAATGAGGGCTGTCCGATGGAGGCTACACCACCCGCCATCAGGCGTCCACAAACCTCCGTCAGATACAACCTGGTTAACCAGCTTCAGTCGGTCTGTGGTTTTATTTCTGCCCTGTCAGTGCGTTCTCTGAACTGAAGATTGGCGGTTTCAGTCTGATAAAAAGTTCCACCACACATTTTGTTGGGTGTAGGATTGTGCATGGGTTCGTTAGTGCATGTGTGCGTGCATCGGCTTGTGTGCACTAACCACAATACACCAAGGGATTGTCGGGCG